CAACCTTATCCGACAATTTGGAGATGTAGTCATCTACCAGAGTATAGATGGTGACCATGGACTATTCTAGACAACCCCGTGGAAACATTAGCATGCTCATAACCTGTAGGTGATGAATTACGAGTTCAGGCGATGTTGTAACTACGTATTCATGCGATGATACTCTAACCCCTTACTATGAATTACGAGTTCAGGCGATGTTGTAACTACGTATTCATGTGATGATACCCTAACCCTTGTTGGGCACGTATTGAGGGAGTAATCCCTGAATCAATACTATCTATGTGATGTAGGTGATGATCCTTAGGGGGAGTCCTTAGGAAAAAACATATAAGGAAATGCGATGTAAGGAGATGAGAGGAAAATATGATGTAGGAGACGACCCTTAGGATAAATCCTTAGAGAAGATACTTAGGAATAAAGAAGATAATGGGGATGGGTAATTGGGTTAACTGTTTGTTGATTAAACATAATAATTATATTATTGTGGGTTGAAAATCCTATGTACTCACCAGGTTTCCCAACCTGACCCACTCACTTTACTTGTATCACAGGTGACGATGTGAAGTTACATTACACTGAGAGATTAAGGAGATATAGATCACTAGTGTAAATGAATGTAAGTTCTGTTTATGCTTATGTTTCTGTACTGATGATGACATCCCAAATGTTTTGAAATGAATAAAAATACATTTTTTCGGAAATGCTTTGATAATGAAATTATCATGTTTTTCTGGGAACAAATTCCGCAACGTTTTTATTAAAAGAGATACTCTTATTTCTTTTATAAAACATAAACAATAATCGGTCTTTTCTGGTCGTGAAAATGGGGATGTCACATGAAGGTCCGCACATACTCGTTGTTAGCCCCCAAAAAGTTTACTAGAAACTGAACAATATTACAATCAAAATCCCACTTTCTAGGACCATCAAAATCCTTGAATCTATTCTTTAGTTTGTTCTCAGTATCGAAGAGATAAAGTTGCAGAAACTTGGGACCCTTTTCAGGATCCGGAGAGAGAGACCCTATCTTGTGACTAATCTAACCTGATATCTTAAAAACATAAGGACCATGGTTATCATTCACATCCTCATCTACATTTACCCCAAAGGAAGTCATGGAAAACATGTTATTATAAGCCCTAATGTCCTTTAAAAAGCGTGCATTTTGATACAGGGCAACGAATTCAGGGGGAAACCTAGATGGGTAAGGAAGGACTACACCCCCACCCCTACAACAATGATTATACCTTGGATGAGCAGGCATAGATAGCTTAAGGACCCTCTCAACATACCAGAAAAATGCAGCGCAGAACTCACAAACACAACTACAGTCACCGCAATCTACGTACTGGGGAAGAACAGAAAAAGTTACAAGACGTCGAGACCTGCGAGGGCCACCAACAGAGGAGGAAGCATCGTCTTGAGGTCTCTACTTGGCCGGAACATTCATCAAAAGACAGACGGACGACACAACAGAAATAAAGTAAACAAAAAACCACAACGGAAGAAACAATAGAAGAAGAACAAAAGAAGATTACCTGAGACAGCAAGAAGGAAGGACGTACGGAAACAATAGAAGCAGAGGCTGAACGAAAGAGAATGAGAAAAGAAGAAGAAGAAGAAAGGAACACGTGGAAAATAAAAGAGGCAGAAAAGTGCACGTGAAAAGTATAAACGTTTGACAACAAGCAGGAAAAAAAATCATTTAACAAATAACAACAATAGAACAAAAAAAAATCACTAAAAACAAATACAGAAAATAGAAGGACGAAAAACGATAGAAATTTGAAATGTAAGTACAAGGGGTGAAATAGGCAAAATAGGTGCCACTTTACTTTTGCTAAAATATGATAATTTTAATATATATATATATATATATATATATATATATATATATATATATATATATATATATATATATATATATATATATATATATATATTTGGTTCTTGACCCAAAAGTCAACAATATAAACACAAAGTACTATGTGAACTTGCAAAAGACAATTGAATAAAGTTTATATATATATATATATATATATATATATATATATATATATATATATATATATATATATATATATATATATATATATATTCAAAATTTGATTTTTTTTTTTCTGTCTACTTTATCCTAAAAGTTATTATAAAGTTTGTATTTCTTTTTGGTTGTTTATACTTTCAAATTGAAAATGATAGAAAGTAGATTTCGTAGCTTAGCTTTTTAGTGACATGTAATCTTGAAAGGGTGACTATTTACTCTCCATCATTATGAGTGCTTCTTTCATGTTCATCTTAAATTCCTATAATTGTTAATAAACTATAAGCGACTAAAAAAGTAAAAACAATATCCGTTGTCAAATTCAAAACCAGACCTTCAAATTATCATAGAACTTAAATAATACGATAGATGAAATCGGCATTTTCGTTAAGTCAAATTGTATAAAAAATGTTAAATTTATATAACATTTTAATTTTGACATTGTATGTTTTTTTCATCAAACCAATCAACCGGTTTATTTCAAACATTTTATGGTTTTGCAAAAAGCTGATTTGACTTTTACGTTTAGATCTTAATTGACAAACATTTTTTACATCGATATGTACTTACTTCCCACAATTTATTATTCTTTTCTTTTCTTAGGTAATCACAATATTGTGTAATGACTTCTCACAATCGCTCAAATGATTCACCATCCCAGAGTAATGTAAGCAGAAGAATAAAAGTTGTCCACAATAACATCTCCTAAAAGAAACATTCATTGCATTGCTTATCACTCTGTGATGATGAATCATTTAAGTTGTCACTCAGGAATGATGAACTATTTGAGTTGTCTTGTGAAACAATTGCACAAAATCATGAAATTTTGAAAGAATAAAATAAAGAAATAAAGAAAAATGAGTACAAATCTAATTAAGGGTTCAATTTAAATATTTAACTCAAATGTTTGACAATAACCATATTATATGGAAGCCAAGTCACCTTTTTTAGATAAGAAACATAAAACATATGAAACAAACCAATCGATTTGTTAATTTGTTACAAAATCGTAAACTTTATTAAATTTGTAACAAAATTATAAACTTTTGAAAAAAACATAATATCAAAATCAAAATTTTATAAAGAATTAATATAGTTTACGCAATTTGTCCTCTGGTTATTTCCTTCAAATTATAGTTTATTTTGTGGTTAGAAAGGTGTACAAGAACAATTAAGATGAATATTAAAAAAAAAAAAAAAAAAAAAAAAAATTTACATGATCTTTATCTTTTTCATAATAAGACGTCACTCTTTTTTATTAAAATTTTATTTTATGAGATAAGAGTTGATGTAAAATTTACCCACTACTCCTCTAGTGGCCACCAACCCGAAACTAAAGCCTGCCTTTTTTTTTCCTTGACGTTTTTTTCAATGTCCAATAAAAAATTTCAGTGCAGAATATTTTCTTTCAAGAATTAATGGAAATTATTGTATCGAAAATTCAATCTGATTTAGAGAAACCAAAATTGTATTAATCTATATTATTGATAACAGTTATAGCATGTTCAACTATATATAAATATATAAGGATTTGTAAATCCCAAATGAAAGCTAAGTTATACACTTAGATCACGATTAGTAGGAGTGGTTATATCTTTTTGATAGTTATTAATATCAAACAAAAGCATCAAATTTGTCAACTCAATCATGATTCATCCCACAAGTGTCCAAAATCTTTCTCAAGGTATCCAATGCTATGAGGATCATATTAAATTTAACACCAGTTAAATTAGGGTTTAGTATAAACGACACTTACCTATTGACTTGGTCTTGTTTAAGTGCTATAAACGATTTAACCATACTTAATATGATAACAACAATAATAGCTGAGGGTGTTTGGGATTGTATATTAAAAATTGGTTATGTATTTTTTTTCATACGTTTTTAATAGTTTATGTGCATGTTACCAAAATATTCTTTAAGAAAATGTGTTTCGATAAACTTATGTGATACAAAAACTTAAAGAAGTTATCTTATGTGATATGAACATTCAAAATGCTTATTAGCTCTACTAAGCCGCATTAAACAAAATTTGTTTTGTGCAATCCAGACACTTAAAGTAGTTTATTAAAGTGTCAAACTACCATAAATCAATTAACATTTAAAGTTTAGACAGACAATTACAACGTTCCATTAAACTAACAAGCAAATTCAAGTAACAATCAACAATGTGGCTTTATATCGATACAACCGGGTTATCTGTCTTGACTCTTTATCTTGTGGAATATAAACAATTAATATGTTATAACTACAAAAATAAAATTATTACATTAATTATATTATCTTTTAAATAAAACATTAGAAAATTTCAACGTTTACAAATATTCTTTGAGCTTTTGACCCGTCCATTTCTTTTAGCTAAATCTTTTTTTTTACTAGATTGGATCATTAGAAAGAAAAATAACCAAAACTGACCAATTTAAAGTAAAAAATTCAAAATTATCACCTCTTTCTTAGTGTTGCTTTATCAAAATATAAGAACCATCGCCGGCTTTTGCTATGAATTGAAGAAGGAATGAAATAGATTATTACGGCATCGTATAGTTGCTATGTAGGCATGTAATGGAGCATTCATCAACTAATGTAATTCTTTAGATCTCGTGGACATAGTTCTTGTTGCTGAGTATAAATCAAAGCTAAATGTTAAATTATATATCTAGAAGACATTATTATTAGAAGAAAACGAGCTATATATTAATATATATTAACAATGGTGAAGACAATATCTTTGATGCAATTTTACCGTTTAGCAAAATAGTGAAGGGATGGTAGTATGCATTGACGGAACATATTTTACACCCAAATGAGAGTTTCAAGTACATAAGTCTATGATTCATAAGCAATGGGGATGTAGATTATGACAGCATTATGTTAAAAGTGGATACACATGATATGGACTACAGTCCACAAACGAGAAGCAACAATTAATAATGCAAGCCTCCTTTTACACACTCCACTACAAATGTAACAACTTGTTGCTGTATAAATAGCATTCTCTATGCAAAAACCACAGCCAAAAAGTCACCTATTTTACATCAAAAAAAAAAACTAAACAATTATTCTAAAAAAGCCAATTAACGGTAATGTTCCCGAGCCAAACAAAGAGGGGAAACTGTGCTAACGCGATAAAAAGCAGCAGATAATGATGCCTGCTGGAATCGAAACTTCTAACCTCTGAGAAAAGGACACGTTTCATTGTTTTCACCAAAAAGATTCCCATACAAAGACAAGTCCATGGCATCAAGAAGTAGTAGGAGTAGGACATGATGATTCTACCAAAAACCGCCAGGCATAATCCAGCGAACGCATACCCAGCGTAAGCTACGATGTCCAGCAGAGGTGCCTCTGCCCCACCCAATGAAAATAATGACATTTTTAGAAGAGAAACCTGTAGAAACCAACCCACTATTCCCTTCATGAACAGCCAGTTCAATGCTTCTGGGGTAAACCTGTAGATTAATAACAGATGTTAAAACTTAAAATAATCAATACAACCCATGATATAGTTAGTATACTGTGATTAAGCTGATACTTACTTTCCTTGAAGTCCCAATGAGAAGCCAGCAAGAACAACATATGTACCAAAAGCCATTAATGGGATATACAGATCTGGAGCATTGATATCATAAATGGGAGGCTTATATGATAGCCTACCCCCTACTGGCTCAGTGATTCTTGTCCAATGACCCTGAAAATGACAAACAAAACCATAAAAATGTACAGGTTATACATACACAGAAGAAGATGGAAATGAGAGCAGATAGGGTAATAATATTATAATCTGTGCTAAGCTACCACTTACCCTGTGCAGAAAGGGGAATAGAACAACCTTCAATTTGTTCCTTACATAATGGTCGTTGACTTGGAAATAATATTGTGGATCAGAGAAGTATCTACTAATCTGTGAAAACATGAACAATTTGAGAGTATGGAAAATGGAAATTGCTGTTTTTAATGTTACTTACATTACTTTGCACGTATTCGGAGCTTGAACCTAAGATTTTTTCTCCATAGGCACCAAGTCCACCTCTGATTAGGCCTGAACTGGCACCATAAAATGGATTCCCAAATGGAGTTTGTGGTGTACTAACTGGTGGTCTTGGCACCCCAGATGGGTTTCCAAGATTATCATACATGTTCAATGATCTGAAAAGAAGAGAAAATGATGTGACACTGATACATGCATTGCATAAAGCAGATTCTGTGAAGGAAAAACAACACAACTCTAATATAAACATTTCTTATAAGATACAGTTGAGTGAATACGAGCATGTTAGGTGGCTTTAGGATTCAAAACTGCTATGTATATGTCAGTCTACTTGGATCGAGCATGTGGTAAACCCATGGAACCGTTTTTGATAATACAGATACTTCTACCAATAACTATATTCGCAATCATCAACGACAACTACAAAATCATGCCAATGTTGAACTCAAAACTCGATCGAATTCGAAACATGTTTGACGCATCCAAATAGTATAAAATACATATAGATCACCATTCTTATAGATTAAAGATATTCAGCTGATTTAACATTCGATTTGAACAGATTGATACAGTTTCATAAAATATAAAACTGAAAGGACGCGCAAAGTACAACGATTTCGTGATCTAAAAGCTAATACTACAAATCCTTGAAAATTCGTCGCAACTTATCATGAAATCGAAGAGTAGGATATGTAATAACTGATAAAAGGAGAGGTTATAACTTATAAGTGACAATTAAAAAAATACATCTATGTGGATGGGAAAAAAGACGAACCAGATGAACTATCCGGCGATGAGAGATTGAATCACGTAAGATTCCGATGTCCGATGTAGGCCGCGTTAGTGGCGGTGGTCGACGTAGAGAGTAGCAGATCTGATAAAATTGGGGCTTCAGATCCTTGTGGCGGAGGGCTTGTAATTTCCTTTTGTAAAGCGGGGGCTATATTGTAATATTGGAATATGTACTGGAAATTGGAATTTCCTCGAAGCATACTAGAAGTTACATTTACACCCTTTATTTTCAAAAAAGCTTCAACTGCACCCTTCGTGGTAGGGGTGCATGGTCCGGTTTGAAACCGTGAAACCGGCCAAACCGGTCATCGGTTTGGTTTTATGGTTTGTATTTTTCTTTACGGTTTGGCTTGTGGTTTTGAACTTTTCAAACCGTATTGAACGGTTTGGCTTACGGTTTTTAAGATTTCAATCCGTATAAAAACCGGACCGGACCGTAGGATTTGTATATATATATTAATTATTTTTTTATATATAATTAATTTTTATTGTATTATATATTAATTTTTATATATAAATAATAAATTTAAAAACCCACATTATATTGAATTATTACAACCCAATATTGAATTGGGCTAGTAGTCCACCTCCAGGCTCCAGCTCCAAACAATCGTTCAAAGGTGATTCACTGATTCAACTTGCCCTAATCGACTAATCGAGACATCGAGTAATCGCAAAGAGCCAAATACGCAGACATGGTTTCCACTTTCCAGTTGCCACATTAGTGCACCACTCGTTTTCCCTCCCAGGCTCCGACTTGCAGGCTAACAGCTCGTCGCCTACCCTGCAGCAGCTCCGATTCTACCTCTCATTTCTTTATCGTTGGGTGTTGGCTACTTGGCTGGATTGTTACTCCGATAAGGTATGTTGTGTTCTTAATCAACTGAAGTGATTTATTTATCATCCATCTACACCTGATTTCTATCCATCCATCATCTCTCCTATCATTGTGCATTTGATTTTTTTTTAACAGAAGCCAAGATCGGAAGAAACAAAAGTATAAAGTAGTTGCTAACTGCTTGGCTCCGACTACAGGCCTCCCCTGCAGCTCCGATTGTTGCTCCGATAAGGTCCGTTTGACGATTCTAGCTCCGATAGTGCGTTTGATTTTTTTAACAGTAGCAAACATCGGATGAAACCTTTTAATTTTTTATTTCTTTCTAAAACCTGTTGCTAACTACTAAGTCTCATCATCTCTTAATCTTTTCTTTCAGGTCCTTACATGTGCGTTTGATTTTTTTTAACAGAAGCAAACATAGGACGAAACCTGTTGATTTTTTATTTGTTTCTAAACCTGTTGCTAACTTCTAAAACTCATCATCTCTTAATCTGATTTCAGTGAGTACACAATTCTGAATTTTGCTTGCACTTTTTTCTTTCAGGTTCTTACATGGATAAAGATAACATCAATATTCCAAGTAGCAAACCTGTTAACATCATTGATGCTGATGATGATATGGAAGAGATTGATGTAGATGATGATGTTCATGTGGAGCAAAATGGAGGTGCTACTGATAAGAACCAAGGAAGGGGACGAAAACAGTCTATTGTTTGGAAACACTTCAACAAACCTGATCCAGTTCCACCTGAAGGAGCACGCATCGCATGTATTCACTGCAAGAAAAGCTATGTGTATGAACCAAGTCAGAATGGTACTGGTGCTATGTTAAACCATTTGAGAAAGTTATGCAAGTTTGATCCACTTAAATGTCAAGTAGATAAAAAACAAACAACTATAAATTTTGTTGGAAAGGGTACGGATGGAAAGTTACAAGGTGGTCGTTTTACAAAGGAATTAGGTAAACAAGCTCTTGCTAAAATGATTATTATTGATGAACTACCATTTAGCTTTGTTGAAAAAGAAGGTTTTCGTTATTTTTGTAGTGTAGTTCGACCCGAGCTAGAGTTACCGAGTCGGATTACAATTGCTAGAGATATCTTATCATTATATGTGGATGAAAAGAATAAGTTGAAAGAGCTATTACGAAAATCTTCACAATCCGTTTGTCTTACAACGGATGCATGGACTTCATGTCAAAACATCAATTATATGGTTTTAACAGTCCATTACATTGATGGAGAATGGAATTTGCAAAAAAGGATTTTGAATTTTGAAGTTATTTCGAATCATAAGGGTGACACAATTGGTAAAATGGTTGAGAGTTATCTAATTACATGGGGTATTGAGAAGGTTTTTACAATCACTGTGGATAATGCGAGCTCTAATGATACAACTATTTCCTTTCTAAAAAAAGAAAATACAAAATTGGGGACATGCGATTTTAGATGCTCAATACTTGCATATGCGTTGTTGTGCTCATGTGTTAAACTTGATTGTGTGTGATGGGTTAAAAGATTATGATCCTGCAATTCAAGTTATTAGAAATGTTGTGAGGTATGTTAGATCCTCACCTTCAAGGTTGGCTAAGTTCAAGGAATGTGTGAAGATAGAAAAGTTAAATGTTACTGGAACTGTATGTTTAGATGTTTCCACTAGGTGGAATTCAACTTACTTGATGTTGGAGTCAGCTTTGAAGTATAGAAAAGCGTTTAATAGGTTGGAAGAAGATGGATACTATGCAAGGTTTTTTAATGTGGGTCCTAGTAGCTTGTTGAATGAAGTAGATGCAAAGAAAAAGTATGATGTCACTAGAGTGGGGCCACCTAGTGATATTGATTGGGATGTTGCACAAGCATTTATGTTTTTTCTTAAGGTTTTTTATGAAGTGACAAATCGGTTTTCGGGGTCTTTATATGTAACTTCGAGTGCTTACTTTCATGATATGTGTTCATTGCATAGCCATATTGATGAATGCATTGAAAGTGATGATTGGCGGGTGAGTTCGATGGCTATGAATATGAAGGCAAAGTATGATAAATATTGGGGAAATGCTGAAAAGATGAATCCTTTATTGTATGTAGCAGTTGTTCTTGATCCTCGATACAAGTTAAAATATGTCAATTGGAGTTTGGAAGAAATATACCCCATTGGTGATATTGCATGTGACTTGAAAAAGAAGTTAAAAGCCACTTTGACTCGACTTTATGACTTTTATTTGGAAAAAGATCCTATGCATGCCAAAAGTTTTTCTTCAAACAAGAATCATAACAAAAGAAAAGTTAATGAGAATCTTAGCATACAAGAGAAGCGTATGCTAAAATATAAGGCACATTTGGAAGATGAAAAAACAGGAGAAGTGAGTGAACTTGAAAGATATTTGTCAGATAACCAAGAGCCAAGCTATGAGTCATTTGACTTGTTGGATTGGTGGAAGACAAATGGAGCAAAATATAAGATTTTAGGAAAAATTGCACGGGATGTCTTGGCTGTTCCAGTTTCCACAGTTGCGTCTGAATCCGCATTTAGCACCGGGGGTAGAGTTTTGGATTCATTTAGGAGTAGTCTTTCTCCTAAAACAGTGCAAGCGCTTATATGCACACAAAATTGGATTCGGGGTGTGTTTAACAAAAATGCAAAAGTTGGTTATGAAGATGTGTTGAAAGAAATTGAAGACCTTGATGAAATTGAAAATGGTAAGTTTTAAATTTTCAAAAGTTATATATTTTCTCCTACTTATTATTTGTAAATTCTAACAAAATATAACTTGTATTTTAGATTTTGCAAGCAAACTTAATATTTGCACCGACAATATCGAATGAAAGGTACATTTCTTTTCTTGGTTTTATATTGAATTTTTGGTATGATGTTTTAATATTGACTTTTTTGGACAGCAAAAGCTTATGAATTGGATAGAATTTTGGAAGTGGATAGTATTTTGGAAGTGATCTTGCTGATAATGCTTTTTGGATAACAGTTTTGCTGTTTTGGACAGCTTAGTAGGATGTGTGTATTAGTCTAATATTTGATGTAATGGAACAATATTTGATATTTTCATTTACTGTTTTTTATTTGCTGTTTTGGACAACTTTTTTGGTAGTTTTCTTGCTGTTTTTGACAATTTCCCTATTGCAGTATTTTCAACAAACAGTGCAGTTTTTTTTATTTAACTATTTTAATACCTTTAATAGTGCAGTTTTTTATTATTTTAATACCTCTAATATTGTAGCTTTAATATTATGTAGAATTTTTACTGTTTTAATGCATGTAATAATGCAGTTTTTTTTACTAAATTAGCTTAATGGACTCGATTAAAATGGGCCTAAAAAGCCCAAACCGTGAAACCAAACCGGAGCCAAACCGTTAGTAACGGTTTGGTTTGGTTCGGTTTTAAATTTTCAATGGTTCGGCTTTGGTTTTTGCTTGACAAAAACCGTTAGTAACGGTTTGGTTCCGATTTGACCTAAAAACCGAAAAAACCGGACCGTGAACACCCCTACTTCGTGGTGACTATAAGAACTCTAATATCCATTTTACAAAATAAATGGCAATTTTTAGAAAACTAGTCTAAAACTTATCATTCTAATCAAATCTCTCATTCTTTTTAATGTTTTTAAGATTAAACCTAAAATTTAATACATAAATTAGATGTCATCAAGATTACAATATAAACATATTCCAAAAAAAAGACACATTTCACCTGTATAATTCTATTATGGGTTTTACAGTAACCATTATTAAATCATAATCAAACCTTTATGGGTTTTACAGTAACCATTATGTAAATCATAATCAAGCCTTATCATTCTAATCAAACCTCTCATTCCAGAAAAATACACTAATTGTTTGTTTGTTTGTTGCTTCTAGAATGGGGTTTGTTGACATTTTTTAGCTGATTATGCCTTGAATATTGTCAAGAAACAATAATGGCACGTATGTTGGTATCTAATGTCTAGGTTTGGCAGATATAATTGCTATAAAGATGTTTGATTAACTCATCAATTGCTTCTTGTTTATAATGCATGAAAAAGTTCGGAAGACAGGGTTGAAACTTTTAATCTTATGAAGGGGTTCTTGATTTTTTTTCTTCAGAACTCCTTTGTGAGAACTTGATAAATGATACGTATGAGATATTCATTCAGATTAACCTTTTGATGAATATGTTACCGACACTCATCGCCACTAATCCAAAATATATCCAAGTTATGTTATTAGTATATTTTGATTTGGTTGTGTTTACCCTCTAAACTAACATGTCTTGACTTTGGGTGATGATGTTGTATGAAAAATATATCTTAGACGTATCCTTGAAAATGATTATGCCCTAGATAATCTTGGATGACGTAACTATCTCATTATTTAGATTCAAATAATCAATTTGACATTAGCAACATTGAGAAGAATTACTTATATACCCTTATTTTATCTACTACTTCCTTGAATGATCAGAATTTGCCAAACACTAGTTTCCATAAATACTACTTCATGTGACACTTTTTATTACACTTGGTTATCTTAGTTGATTATTTGCTCCTTAAGTTCTTATTGTATTATATCATCACATCCAAAACCCATAAGTCTCCCTGTTAATTCATTAAGTAAAGAAAAAAAAGCAATACAATATATCTTAGAGAAATGTGGAATTTTAGTGAAATTGGATGGCAGAGAAAAGTAACATTTTTTTTCTGAACAAAATGAGATGAACTTACTCTCCATCTCTACAAAAGACATAAACATCCTCGTCATTTTTACCCTTCATCTCTCATAACAATAGGTATTTTAAGTGAAATGTGATATTTTGCTACAAACCCGAAATGAATCCAAAAAAAAAAAAAAAAAACATGATTTAATCTCTTGTCTAATTAAAACTCGAGAGGAAGAATAGCACTTCGGGATCCTCGTACATGTCCAAACGAGAAGAAAGGTCTCTTTGTTCTTGTAGCCTCTTCATGATTACGTATGATATCTTGAACAGATAAATAAATATCACGATCAACTGCAGAATCCATCGAGAAAGATCTTCGAAGGGGTTGAATTGCAAGTTGCTCATCTTCTGTCTCCATGATTCTTTCAAAATGAGGCTTTCTCGATTCATTAGCCCCCTCGCCCAATTCAATTGTAACGAAATCTTCGTTGCTATTTGTTGGGCTCGATTCCGGATCTTGAGGCGAAGAAGTGGGCCCAATCGTATCCGTTAGACACCGGGTCGTACCCGAGATGTTGAATCGACAAATCGGGCAATTGGGATTGTTCCTAAGCCAAATGTCGATACAATGCAAATGGAATCCATG